CTGGAGACTGGATAAAGAAAATGTGGTTTTTTAATAAAATGGAGTACTACTCAGCCATAAAAAATGAGAAATTAGAGACATTTACAGCTAAGTGGATGCACATTGAGGCAATACTCTTAAGTGAAATAAATAGGACACACACGTGTAAATACTGAATAATTTCTGTAGTGTGAGAAAGTGAAAGTGTAAATAAGGACTAAAACGTATAATAGATAATGTAGAATAGCAAGAAAAGGGGCAAAGGGGAGGGGGAAGGGGAAGTGGGAGGGTAGGGGAAAGGAAAGAAGGGAATAGAATTACTATGAGAAAACAAAAAAATGGAAACAAACTCTTTGTAAATAGGGAGGGATGGAGGGGTTGAAGGGAGGGCAGTGGAACGGGGAAAAATAACCGAGATTATGTAAAAGTGTAAATTTCCAATGATGAATGTCATTATATTGTATACCTAAAATGCACCAGTGATTAGAATGAATAATCGATAATGCGAAATAGGAAGAAAAGGTCCAAAGGGGTAGGGGAAGTGGGAGGGGCAGGGAAAAGGAAAGAAGGGAAAGGAAAAATTATGAGAAATGGAAAAAAAGGAAACATAATCTTTATAAATAGGGAAGGGTGGAGGGGGTGAAGGGAGGGCAGGGAATGGGGAAAAAATAAGAACCAAGGTACATCATGTAAAGGTACAAATTCCCAATGATAAATGTAAATGTATTGTATGACTAAAATGTACCAATAAAAGAATTTAAGGAAAAAAAAGAAAGAAAGTGCAGGAATTTCCTCATATGTCTGTGACTAACCATTAATTCTAAAGTGTCAGCTTCATTGGATTTAAAAATGCCCCGTAAATGAGTAGAGCATGCACCTGGGTTTCTCTGAGTGGGACATAGAAGCACAGCCTTGGGAACTATAAATGGCCCCACAGCCATTCTTCTCTGGCTTTGATCACCTACAAGGCCCACCAGCTGCCAAGAACTGAGCAGTTCTGCTCTGCCATACCATCTCCCGTGATGTTTCTGCATTGCATCCAGCCTAATTTTGACTGAATTTCTACAAACTATGAACTGAATTAAACCTTTACTTCCTTATTGAGTGTCAGGTTTTGTGTATCAGCAATGGGAAAGCTCACTGAGAGAGGATTTAAGAACCTATATTCACTGTCCACTGTACATTACTTTGTATATCTGTAAGTGTGAAATTTTTAGTAGTCCAAAAATTGTAAAAAATAATTTAGTTTTGTTTCTAATTTTAAGTGTTTGTCACTTAACAAATATGCATTTTTTTTCACAGTGAGAATATTGATAATCACCAAGTCAAGGATTGCCTGTTTCAGCTAAAATGTCACTTTACATGGAAACTGGTAATTGATGACACTGAAATACCTGATTTAGAAATCAGGGCCTCGGAACACATCGAGAATCTAGACACAAACAATATAGGAATGTACAACCTCCAGGCCTATGTGAGCCACCTGAAAGGCGAGAATGACAAAGCCCTGCAGAGCTTGAAAGAAGCTGAAGACTTGATCCAGAGAGAGCACACTGATCAGTTAGACAGGAGAAGCCTGGTGACCTGGGGCAACTATGCCTGGGTGCATTACCACATGGGCAGGTTGGCAGATGCCAAGATGTACCTGGACAAAGTGGAGAACACTTGCAAGAAGTTTGCAAGTCCTTTCCGCTATAGGATGGAATGCCCTCAGATGGACTGTGAGGAAGGATGGGCCTTGCTGAAGTGTGGAGGACCGAATTATAAGCGGGCTCAGGCCTGCTTTGAAAAGGCCCTGAAAGTGGAGGCAGAAAACCCTGAATTTAATTCTGGGTATGCTATTGTTACCTATCGCCAAGATTGTGACAAGAGTAATGTAATTTCACTCGATCCCTTGAGGAAGGCCTTGAAACTAAATCCAGAACATGGATATATCAAAGTTTTCCTTGCACTGAAACTTCAAGATATAGGAGAGGAAGCTGAAGGAGAAAAGTACATTAAAGAAGCCCTGAGCAACAAGTCCTTCCAGACCTATGTCTTTCGCTATGCAGCCAAGTTTTACAGAAGAAAAGGCTGTACAGATAAAGCTCTTCAGCTCTTTGAAAAGGCCTTGCAGGCAACACCCACCTCTGCCTACCTGCACCACCAGATTGGGCTTTGCTACAAGACACAGATGTTCAAAGTAAAGGGAGGTACAAATAGGCAGGACAGAGAAAGTATTGGCAGATTTGCTCAATTGGCTATAGATGAGTTTCAAAAAACGATAACTGACAGGCCCACATTTGAGATGGCTTACATTAACCTGGCTGATGTGTATGCAAAAATAGGTCAGTATGAAAAGGCAGAGGAAAATTTTCAGAAAGCGTTATGCATGGAGAACCTTCCTGATCACTTACAGCAAGAGACTCATTTCCGCTATGGCCGTTTCCAAGAATTTCACAGGAAATCTGATAATAAGGCAATCGTCCATTATTTAAAAGGTCTCAAAATAGAAGAAAAGTCCTTTGCCAGGGATAAACTCCTAAATGCTTTGGAGAAATTGGCTAAAAGACGAATTCAGCACAATGTTTGTGTTGTGGAAAGCTTCAGCCTCCTTGGGCTGGTCCACAAATTAAAAGGGGAGGTGAATGAGGCCCTGCTGTGCTATGAGAAGGCTCTGAGGCTCACAGAGCACCTGAATCCTATGTTTTGAAGGGCAGTTCACCAGTACCAATGTCACATGTTCTTTACTAAATATAAAAAATGTTTAATGTGGTGAACACATATTAGTTAAATACAGAAAACACTCAGCAAAACAGTTATTGAATTTGTTATTCAATTTGTTAATGCATTTTGGAGTAGATTCCATGAAGAAGGAAGTGGCTATCACTGAACAAAAAGATGCTCAGCTTTGGGGGAAATACACAGATACAAGACTTATTAGTTTAAGCAGAAACCCTGTGTACATGAATTTGTAAGATGATACCATGACACTTTCTCTTAAAATACAGGCAATGTGTCATTTTTATGTTTGGTATTCATATTATACTGCAGCAATTTAAAAGGTCATTGTGGGGGAAGTCTAATGAAAGGTATACAGTAACATTCTTCCTACTTCCTGTGAATAGCACTGCTTTAAAGTGAACCTATAATGTAAGAAAATGATATGAATAATAGTCTATTAGTGTCAAATAGATTTTTGTAGGACAAATTGTGGGTCCAGGTGAGCTGACTCCTCTCAAGAACACCAGTGAGAAGGTGTGAGTGTCATCAGGCCAGTCACAAGAAAGGATTTCTGTTGTCTGAGTCCTTTCTCCATTGATGTGAATGGAAGTAGGTTAGGAATAATCTCAATACCCAATAATGTTTTCATGGAGTCTGCAAACACTTGAACTTACATTTTTTAAAAAAGCAGACTGTAAGTGAGAATATTCCTGTGGTTGGTTACATTAAGGAAAGCACAAGATGCATAGTTAGCAGGGTATTGTAAATGTTCAGTGGCAAATTTTACATCATGAAGAGAAGTATCTATAAATCTGATAGGATGAACTAAAATTTCTAAGGAAAATCAAAGACACAGAAGTACGCACAGTAGATGGATTGATAGCTTCATGTAACCCTTAGCTTTTTATAATCCTATCATGAAAAATCCACTACATTTTCCAACACCGCAGTGCTTTCATTTAACTGTGACTAGCCTAAATCAGTACAGCCACCTGGGCAGCACAGGCTCCTGGAGAGGCCTGCTGAGGAAAGCAGGTTGAATTTGCTTCTGACATGATAAATACTAGAAAACAGGAGATAATGTCTTTCATATAAAGGAATGGGGATGAGATGGACAGAGGAAGAAGGAGGGGAGGGGAAGGGAATGAAAAAAGAATTGATATGTATGTGTACCAACTTCCCATGATGAATGTAATCATTATGTATGACAAACATATTAATAAAAACAATTTTTCCCATAAAAAACTGGCTTTTCAATAGGTAACCTGGTCACTAGGCCCTATTTTGCATGACCTTCAGCAAGCCAATAACAGCTTTAGACCAAAAGTGATGGCCTGGTATAAGATAGGGGGATTTTCCATGGCACACATTTCTTCATAAACTGTGATTGAAGGTTTGAGATATTTCAGCAGAAATGGCTCACCATCTAATAATAATAAAATAATGATAAAAAACCACTCAAATTGCATTCATCTTCCATGACTTCTTGTGCATCAGAAAGAGACTGAAGAGTTCTTTGCTCACTATATCAGCAAGAAAGTGAAGTCTAGAGTACTGAAGACACTGAATGTGGGCCTCAGACAAAGAGTGGTCGGCCAGGAATTGATCCCATCACTCAGCCAGATAGTTTCAGACACACAGTAGACACCAGAGGTTCTTGGGTGCCAAACCCATGTGAACATGCAAATCACCTGATGATTTCTTTAAATACTGATGCTGGGGCCCCCATTTCTCAGGTGTGTTTGACTTTCTGGGATGGAGCCTAATCAGCACAATTTTTAAAACTTCCCTAGATGACTCTAATACAGCAAACCTTCAAGTTAAGACTGGTCTGACATACAAACAACATGGGTTAATCAGGTTAATGGACTGTTCATCTGCCTCTTGTTATCTATAGTATGTACCCAGGTAATCCAGATCTCAGTTGTATTGACTTACAACCAACTTGAGTTACAACCAGCCTTTGGGAACCCATCAAGTTTGTAAGTCAAGGGTCCACTGTACTATATCGAGTGAGGCTGAACTATGCCAACCTGTTCCAGAACTATTTATTCATTAGCTTATGAAACAGAGGTTCCCTATGTGAAGGGGGCTTCTCACCACTGGCCAGACACTTTTTAATTGTTCATCTTGGACTCCTGGAAGGGGAAAATCCCTGGCTGGTGAAATTTCATCTCCTAAAAGTTACGCTTTCTCCAGTTCCCTTTTTCTATCTTATCTGGCGCTCGCATGCGCACACATACACACACACACACGCACCCACACGCACACACAGTCTGTGCTCTGTTTCCTCTCCACTTAGAGTTGCTCATGAGTATGTTCATTTCAAAGAGATCCTGAGCAAGATGGTCACTAGGTGACAAACGTGACCCACAGCACCACAGAAACAGGACCAATGCAGATCAGAGCAATGACAAGAGAAGCACTTTATTCCCTTTTCTGAGTGATATCTAGTGCTTTAGGAAATAGAGAAACCTATTGTTTTGTATCTTTTCCATTTCATAAGGCTTTTTATGATACTTTGCACCAAAATAAGAGATTTCCTAATTTATTTATATTCAGGGTTTAGTTATAGCCAGAACATTTTTCTAAAAACATGATTAGACCTGTCTCACCACTTCAGGAATATTTGCTCATATATAGCTTTCTGACTCTATCAGGAAGCCTCTGTGGAAGTATATGGAGTTGGTGAGGGTGGAGATGGGAGAAGAGCTGGAAAGGAGAGCATGAGCAGAAATGGTTTGGATCAGGCGGTGTGCCCAAGGAAGATTTTCAAGAAGAAAGCAATCTTTCAACTGCTCCTGTTCCAGTTCTCATTTTAAAAGACACAGGAGGTAGATTTTCTAAAATGTGGCATTATTTTTAATGTGAAGACTGAAGATAATAATAATAGTAATATTTATAATAACCACCTGTTATTGGCATGCTTCTGTGGCCCATGTGGTCACTAAGTATTTGATCTCAAACTCCACTAACTACTGTTGAGTTTGAGTAGGAATCTGAATCAGAATAAGGGTTCATGCTCTTCCCACCATTGCACTTGGCTTTCACCTCCTGCTCACATGTTCAGAGGTTAGAGGGATTTCTTAGGATTTGGTCCCTTTCCTCAGCAAGAAAGTTTTCAATTTTGTATTTCCCCATGAAAGTTACATAATTTTAGTCATAATTTTCATCTTAGTCAATGAAATAAACTAGCAAGAGACTGATGAATAGAAACAAGTACATATACTGGTATTTATTAAAGATGTTAAATATGAGACTGTACCCAAAGAATGAGTCTCAAAAATGAGATAAGCTGAAGCTGAAACGTCCCTTACACAGAAAGAAGGAGAGGGAGACCAGGATGTAAGCAATTCAGTAAGTGATTGTTAAAGTGAATGCTTGGACACGGAAACTGAAATTAGCTTACAAGTGATTATTTTTACAACTAGATGAAACCCCAGAAACAGACATGACCTTGTAACAAAAATACACATTTTTATTGTGTTCCTTATTAATCTCTTTCTCAGATAATAGGTTTTAGTGTGGGATGGAAGGCAACTCTAGCTATTTTTTGTTTCCAGTCATAATGGGGATAAGGAAATTATTGCAACAATCATTGATGGCAAGTTTTAGGGTGAAACAAGACAATATGAGGGTAACTTGATTCTTCAGGCCACACATCAGGCCTCTCAGCCTATCAACAATGCAATCTTTGATTTATTATTTTTGAACCCAGCACCTTTATTCCTCACCTTTATTACTATGTTATCTGTTGATATGTCAACCTGACACTACAGGTAACAAGCAGAATGCTTGTTACTTCATTGGGAGGACGTTTTTATATGTGACAGCAGATTTCTTCCATACAGAGAAGATTACCTGTGAGCAGAACCAGACCTTTCAGTTCTTCTTCTATACATTCATCCAGATCCCACATATTACACGAGGCAACAATGGGTTGATGTACTTTGTTAGCACATGGGACAGCTGTAGTTCCAAATCCTGGCCTGCTGCTGGGTTTCTGCAGCTCCAGAAACACCCATCTTCCAGGTGCACTGGAAACCTGGTTTCATACCCTTCAGAACTCACCCGGGAAACTCATAAAACACTGCACTTGGACCTTCACCCTTGATTCTTGACCAGATGGCTGTGGACAAAAGGCATCTTCAGAAATTTCCATCTCCTGTCTGTCTTTTCTTCCTCTCAGCCCAAGAACCTGAGATTCTTTTTAGTTTGTGAAAAAGATTCCTGTATTTTTATTATTTTCAGGACACATAGAAAACCATGGCTGACAATCCTACTCACATATGTGTATTACATATCCAGCACATCTAGTTCAGCTTTCTAGGGAAAGAAGTATGATAGTCTCTTCTCAATAAGGGGCTCTCCAATGATTAACTGTGGCTGGGGTGAGTTACTTTGTCAGAATTTCTAGGGAGTCATCACTTTACCACATGTATCAGCAGAGTGAGGCAGCTTCTAGTAGAAGTTTGGAGAAGAAGAGCACAAGGCAGTACTGGTGAGAATTCACATCTAAACCCAGCATCCATATTCAGCACAGGTGTATTCTTGTCCTACTACAAACTCAGAAGATTACATTGACAAATTGAGATAGGAGAGTCAGATTGACATGACACCCAAAAGCCTTTGCATGAATGTGATGATTTTGCATAGGTGTGAGAATCACTTCTGAGCATTCAAATTGTCTTTGGTGACTAGAAGAAGGAGAACTGAAACTACAAAAAATATTATTAAGCCTTGACTTACTCTATTTAAAGACTTGAAATGTTAGCTTTTTCTTCACAGTACCAAATTAGGTGAGAATATTCATTTAGAAGAGGAAAGGTTTATTATGCCTCACAATTTCAGAGGGTTCAGTGCATAGTTGGCTGCCTTCATTCTTTTTAGCCTGTGATGAGGCTGAACATCACTACAGCTGGAGTGTTAGGCAGTGGAGTCTGTTTACCTCACAGTGGCCAGGAACCAATAACAAAAAGAGCAAGATGGTGAGAGAGACAGAAGAGGGGAGAGAGGACGCAAGATTTATCCATCAAGAGCACACGCTCAGTAACCAACAAATATTTTCTGCCATTGACCATTCTCTGGAATGTAAACAAAAGTATAGGGTACTTAGGAATGCATACTCTTATGGTATGTTGTAGTTACTTTTCAATGTTGCTGAGACAAAATACCAGATGCCCAAAGTTAAGGGATGAAAGGTTTTTTTGGCTCACAGTTTGTAGAGGTTTCATTCCATAGTCAGCTGGCTCCAAGGCAGGTTGTCACGCCAGACAAACATCAAAGAGGAGAAACTGTGTATGGTGGGAAAAAGGTAGCAAAGCAAGCAAGGGAACCAACAAATGACCTTAGCAGCTCTTTCTATCGCTTTTAATATTCTATCTAGGTTACCCTAGAATTAGGGTGGTGCCAAACCAATCACTGGACTGATTTAGTAATCACACACCCTTAATCCCAGCATCACACATTCGAGATCCAGCTACTTCTGAAAAAGCTCCCATCTATGACCATATGAGGCTTTGGGGAGGACATCTGAACACAAGCAATAACACAGATAAAAGTCACATTCTGAGATTTACAGAGCTTTATCCCATAACCTGAACAATCCCTGGTTCCACATGGTAAAATGAAGGTGCAGAAGAAGAGTTGAGACTTCTACAAGTCCATGTGCTCTTTTCAAAGGTGTGCCTGGCCCTAGTCTCAGTGCAGTTTACACTCACTAGCATCTCCTAGGGCCCAAATTTCCATCTGACTAGGAAAAAATAATTCTCACATCAATTCACTGTTTCACAACCTCTTCTCAACCAGTACTTAGAGCAAAGAAGGCAGCTCTGGTTATGGAATTACAATGAATCTGAGTCTTCCCTACCGTGTGATGTGCTTTTAAGTGCTGTACATATATAAGCATATTAATCTTCCTAAATTCTAGTGTGATAAGTCTTATTGCTATCCCCATCTTGTAAATGTGACCCTGGACCACAGAGTTATTATTTGACCATGAAGTGCTGAAATTACCAACTCTGCCAAGAAACTACATTCATCATCCATGCGATTGTTACAAATCCAGTGATTCTAAAGAAAATCTCAAATTTGAGAATTTCAGAATGTCACTAGAAAGTGTTAGAAAGTATTTTATTAATACAACAGTCTCAC